AACAGTGTGTCCGTGGCGTGCCTTTAAAAATCTGCCTTGAAATGACAATGGAAACCCAACCCCTACTGTTAAACGTAACTGCAGTACAGATTCTCCATTTGGAGCCAAACTTCGCAAGTTTGTTATCTAAGTACCATTATTGAGTCGCTGTCATAGAGCCACCTACTGGCAACAGGAAGTAAGCCTTGTGTGGCGATTGTGATTTGTTTTCTGTGAAATTTTCGTAGCTTGGTGTTGTCATGATGTACTAGTGCGTGACCCGACGGCAGCACTCCCCAACGTGCACCAAGTGCGAGGGCCCGCTCATCACTGCTTGCAGTTTTAATTCCATATGAGATGCAAAACATTAATCTATGTGAAGACTTAGTGGAGTCATGGTGTCCTGAGCAGAGAGGATATCACTGTTCCGTGTGCAGCTGAGTAGAGTGTCTGAAATTTTGTTTTTATCATCTACGTTATGGTTAAGATAAGTTCCCAGGAAATGAATGTAAGTTTATGTAATGTCTCCAAAGGTCACCTAGGTAAACGTGCGTGTGGAAGAGAAAAAGTGTTGTTACCTTGCACAGCCTGGAGTTTGTGTGTCTGTATGATGATGCACAGCTGCAGCACCAGTTGTGGCGCACTTTCCAGAAAGGTGGCCAGTAGGTGCAGCATGCTCACATCTGCAAACTCATAGACCATCCTCCAGTAGTAACGCCAGCGCTCTGTCTCAGCACTCTGACGACTCCGCACACCCAGGTAGATGGTATGGAAATACCTGCCGGAGATATATATGTTTCAGCTACTCCCGGAAAGGATAAAACATCACAGGTAACAGAACAATACCTGGGAAAAGCAATGGTCACATGCAAGAGTTAGACTGCACTGTACAAATACACCTGGACAGAAAATCATTGAGGATGAGCAGTTAAAATGTCTTTTTGCTAAAAAAAATCAAATCAAATTAACAACATTTAAAATAATCAGGGATTCTGATCATCAATGTATCTGTCAATTAAAAAGGCTTCTACTTTTATCAATATTAGGCCTGAATTTGGCAATACGATACATATCACGACACAGGGGTTACAATACTATGATACGATGCTGTGAGCAAAGTTATAAATTGGGTTTTTTCCCCCTTCAAATTAGATTTTAGGAAAACTTTTATAGTATAAAGAAGAAGAACATCATATACATAAAGTAAAAAAAGTTTACTTTTTAAATTCAACAAGGACAATGGGATCTGCATTTACATTTATCACAGTCCCTGTAACATCCAACATTATAGCCCTGGGAAAGACTTGTTTGTGGTTATAGTAAAGTTTTACATCTCATTCGTATGACCTTTAAGTCAATTCAACCCACAATAATTTAACCTTAGCTTACCTATTTTAACATACAAATCTCTCAAAAACTGATTTGCAGAATGAGCATGGATTGAATTTGTTTTCATTTGTCATCCTTCTGTCCATAATAAACTCTCAGGAGAGGTAAATACCAACTTTCTTTGCAGAGACACAAAAGCAGACCCTCTGGTATACAGTTTGAACAGTTTCACCATGCAGTTTTAGTAAATAAGGCTGGATTGCAACATGGACACTGCAGCTCCTGGCAAACCCAACTCCAACTGTACCTCTCCAAACCTGAGGCCAGAGCTCATTTTAATGAAGTGAATTCATCTTTACTTTTCAGTCTGTCTGTGGCCTACATTTTTATGATTCTCTCTGCCATTCTCCCTCCATTCTCTCTCCCTCTATCTCTGAAATTAAACACATGGCAGTCATTTAGCAGCAGGCTAATGGGCTGTGAAATGAACTTCCATTGTCAATAAAGAATTTGAAAATTAAATCTGGGCTGACAGCATTAAAGCTGCAGCCTGTACATGGACAGATGGACCCAGCACATTTTTCATTGTGTGTGTGTGTGTGTGTGTGTTGGTGCTGGTCTTTGTAAGTCTATGGATCAGACTTGTTAACCTGCCATTTAGGCTGCCTTTACACTGTAACTGAGGGTGTCCCAGTTCTGACTGCTTCACTCACATCTACTGAAAAGAAAAGTCAAGTCACTCTGTCTCATATTCTGCCTTCAAGTGAGACCATCACCGCCAGTGCTGCCAGCATTACCATGGCAATGCGTTTCATGTACAGTACATATTCCCTGCCAATACTAGTGTTTGGGATGTGTGTTTGTTCAGATGATGTGCATTTTATCAAGCAGTTATTGTAATTGTATCATGAATCCTAGATGATTTCAGACCTGATTTTATCTGCATGATAGGACTTTTATGGCACTGGACCATAGGGCTGAATCTGGCAAGAATCTGGTGATACGATTTGTATCATGATACAGGGGCTATAATTCATATATATTGCAATATATTGCAATACTGTAAGCAAGCAGATATATTGTGATTTTTAACATTTTTTGTCAAGTTTTGTATTTAACAAACATCATAGTCCTCAGTTTATGTTTACAACACTGCTATCTAGCCGTTGCAATACGATATTTTTCTATGTTTTCTTATACATGAGCATGAAACTGGCTGGCTAAAGCTCAAGAACAAGTAACAGTTACCATTCGAACTACAATTTCACATTCTATGATGGTTTTCAAAATGCACTCCAAAAGCAACTTTGAATAATTTATTGTTTTAGGGGAAGACATCCAGTCACCTGACAATTAAAGAGCCACTCTAGACATGTATTACACATGTCACATATTACATGTATCACACTGTACAGGTTACATACCCGGTTGACTTCCAAACTGATGTGATGTCACTAATTATGCTGGTAGGCCCCGCCCTTAAAAATCTGATTTTCAGTGAG